CACGTATACCCATTGGGATAATTTTGCTCACCCCCTGTTCTAATCCAACTCTCTGTATACCGCCTCAGAAGAATCTATCAAAAGAAGCAAACATTTAACAGATGCAATCTTAAAATGTCTGTCTATACTATAAGGAGCTCACATGACTTCTCAGGGGTTATAGGGCGAGGCTCCTACGAAATGACCCTCATTTTGTTCACTGGTCAAACACCAAGAAATGACAGCTATCTTTACAGTAACAAAACGCTGTAAGGAATGCTCTCAAGTTGTGAACTGGATGGCTGATCCCTCTTCTTTCTCAGTGAGACCAGAAAAAGGGCAACATAAGAATGGAATTAATTACCACTTCTCTGTGATTCTATAGGTAAATAGTGCATTACTAAGGAAATGTTCACTGTGTTTTTATACCTGTCAACAAAAATTTCCAAAATGCCGATATAGCTTGCTTTCTTAACTGACATGTCTATTAAAACTTCCATTTTGTGAATCCAGTCATAAACACAAGAGGACAGGGCAGCTCTCAAGCATAGTACCGATTAGGACTAAGACTCCATCATCTTGATTTCTGCCTGCCTGTCTCAAATCTCACCATCAGCGTTTTACAGGCGGCTTTTCAGTCTAATTCAAGTATAGTCTTGTATCAACACCTCTACGAAGGGAAACATCTCTAGCCATTATCCTGGAAAGCTAACAGTGTTTTTTTTTTTTTTTTTTTTTTTAATTCTATCTAATTCCTTAGGGAGGTATCACAAGAGACTTTTGTTCTGGGTCAGAGGAAGTTGCTAAGGTTCAGACACAAAGGTACTGCAGAAGTATACAGAGCAACACTCAAGAAAATTTCACCAGCTCTGATCATTTCTGGGGCTGACTTTGCCCTTTGAATTCTGTTGAGTCCTTTTCTCATGATCCTCTAGACATATGGAGCCTCCACTACTGGTGCCCTAAGATCCAGGCTGAGTTCACTGGGTTTCTTTTTACAATGAGATACATGTGTGGCCTCTATAAGACATAAACAGTAGAGGCTTAAGTATCATTCTAGGAGTCCAGGCCATAGAGGACTGAACCTCTCACTCTAACACACTTATTATCTTTGGGGGCTTGTTCAAACCTTAACTGTTCTTTACTGTAGTACTTAGTGGTGTGAATGCTTTTCATCTTTGAGTGAATCAATGGTAACTGTGTAAAACACTCTGAGATATTTGGAGGTTTAAGTACTTTCTGGACTGGGAAATACCTCTTTTAGGGGAAAAGTTGCCCTCAGGCTAGTCATGTTCCAGACCATCTACTTTAGGTATGGTCTGAGGATGAAGATTGGGGATAGCACCTGGGAAACGGATGCCCAGGTACAAGCATGTCCCTTTACAGTATTCTTGCTGGTAAAGGATTTCCCCATTCTCTCCTCTCAGGGCACTATGATCCTTAAGTACATTAAAAACTACAATTTCAGATACAGGTGCATGAAATGGCAAATGTACAACACAAACATGAAACTGCTAAATCTTAGAGAAACAGGACGTCTACAAAGAATGAGCTTTGAGTATAACTGCACCTTGATCCAAGTGTCCTCAAGGATACCAGGCCTGCAACCCAAAGAGGTGTAAAGCTTGGTAAGTCCTAATATAAACTCTGTCATGGCAAGGGTTCTTCAAATACTAAAATCTATCAACATTTTCTTGTTAGTTTGCCTGAGTAACATAACTCAATAAATAAATTATGTTTTTGTTTGGCTCCTTTCTATCAATGAAACTCTCTTTTAAGTAAGTTTCTGATATTTTTGTTTAAGACAGGATTTCTCTCTCAAAAACAATTAATGCATAAAAATAAAAGACCTGGGGATTTAGCTCAGTGGGCAGTAAGTGCCTGCCTGGTATGCACTAGGTCATGAGTTCGATCCCTGGTTCAAATAGGATCTTTATGTAGTCTAGGCTGACCCTGAACTTACTCTGTAGCTCAGGAGGCATTGAACTTGAGGAGATCCTGTTGCCTCAGCCTCCTGAGTTGCTAGGATTACAGGAGTGTAACACCATGCCGGGCTCAAGTCTTTTAGAACCCACTGGCATGATCTAGTATCATTCAATGAATAGATAATTCCACTGGAAAATTATTTTGTACTGTTTTTCCTTCGAGAATAGAAGAAACAGGAGGTCAGCTGTATCAGTATTCATCACCATTGTACTTTGTAGTGGTGCCAGCATGGCTCTTGCTAGTTAATAGGTTTTCTTGTAAATTTTGCTAAATGAATAAGCAAATAAATACATAAATGAGTAACCAGTTTCTCATGATCCCCAAAACTGGCAAGTATTTGTTATATAAAGCTGCTAGGAGGGCAATGTAGTTCCTAGACAGTTTTAGATCCCATGCCTAACAAGGAGGAGGTATGCAGGGGAAAGGCTGTAGTTTAGGTAGCTAGGAACCCTAGGAAATAAGCTGCTAATAATGTAATCCAAACTGTTTTCTCTTTTGACCCCTCTTGACCAGGGCTTGCTTAGCAAACTTCTGTAGGAGCCAAAGAATAAATATGTTCAGCTTTGCAGGCCATATGGCTTCCATTGCAGTTACTTGACTTCGCTATTGCAGTGTAAAAGCAATCACAGATCATCAGTAAACAAATGGGCAGGGGCGTGGCTGTGTTTCAGTAAAACTGGCACTGAAAAATCAAATCTCAAATAATTTTCACCTGTCATGAAATACTCTTCTTTTGTTTAAATACCTTTTTGTTATCCATTTAAAATGTCAAAACCTTTCAGCATATGAGGTTAGGCCTGCAGTCTATAGTTTGACAAGCACTATGGTATCAGACTAGCAACTGTTTCAAGCTGTGAAGAAACAGAACCTGTCAATGTTGGCCCGTCCCTTCCTCCATTAAAGCAAGCTCTCAAGCAAAATGATTATTGGAACATCACAGGTAACTACCACAACATAACTTCGGCCAGGACAATTTGCTTTCTATTCCAACTTGAAAAACTTGCCTTCAGTTTGACTTAAAGACTGAAGGATAAAAAGAAATCTATGATCACATGAAATCTACAAATAATCAAAAAAACTCCTCAATCTGTACCACTTCTGGGTCACACAGACCAAATAACTTGAGTAAAGCTGCCAGGAGACAATCACTTGACTAAGTGATGGGATCACTCCTTTCTTTCTGTTGACTGCTCTTTGTGGAGGGTCAAGAATAATTAATAAAATAGATACTTAGTTCCAAGTAACACTGGCCCAACACTCAAATGCTAACTGGGAAAACCAGAACAACTCTGATAATTTACTTTAGACTGTCGTTAAGGAATTGATTTTATCAATAAATGCAGAAACATAGCACTTTTATAAAAGTCACCATCATAAAAATTTGAGTAATAAATTATAGTTTATTCTGTAGAATCCAGTGGGGGTTTTTTTTGTACTGGGATTGAACTCACAACCTCATGCTTGCCAGGCAGGTACTTATGCCGCTGAGCTAAATCCCCAATCTCAGAATGCAGTGTTTTTAAGGCTTTATTGTGCTTTTAAACATACTTGAGAGTGGGTTAAATCTACTACTATTTCTTTTTGTCCATCAACATACTATTTTAAAGTTATTTCCAAAGACATACATACACAAATCAGAAGATTTTATGACGTGCCTTTTGTTTATATAAATACTGTTCTAATAACTTTGTATTTTGTTAGTTTGAACAGAAAAACTAAGTAGCTTGAGAAAATACTTTTTTAGGAAAGTCCTCCCAGAAAACACAATGTCATATAAGATATTAACTAATTTAAAAAAAAAATCCTTTTTATCCTGAAAAGTCAAAACAGAAAGTTTAAGTGTGTTTGGGCTGATTTTTCTGTGCAACTATTTGAAGTTGTAAATGACTTAACTCAGTAAAATTCCAAATGTAATTATCTTCTGTACTTAGCCTAGGGCTCTTCATATATCTCAGCATTGTGGTCTTGCATACAAAGTAGGCTTTTCGATGGCTGGTCCCAATATAATGTACAACATTGTTTTAATTTCCCCTAGTCGGCTAACCTCTTGCCTACACTGCACCAGGCAGAGGAAGAAGGCGCAGTGAGTCATCAAGCACTCAAAAGCCTTCTGGAACTCAGTTGCATAAGTGGGGTTTGCCAGGTCAGGCTTTTGCAACTGTACATTTTAATAATCTCCATTTCTGACCCAATTTTTACTTTCAGAAACTAATTTTCTATTAATTATACGAAGAATGGGATTAGTGTTAATACATGGTGGTTCATCAACAAGTTGTACTGTACTGGAAGTGGAACCCACATTACAAATGTCCCCATCTCTTACCACAGTGGTTTCCCTGAGAAATCTGCACAAGTTTATTTTTATCTTAATCACTAAATCTATCCAACATAGTTTAGAGGGCTTGCAAATATTACATTTTATAGATTATAGTATTTATGCATTATACATGAACATATATGTATTTATGATATGTGTAGTGAACTCTCACATTATTCTCAGCGATGGAAAGAAAAGGCGACATACACAATGAGGAACAAATCCTCGTATCACTTCTATTGTAGCTTTGGAAAACACGCTTTTGTGTGTGCTCACTCGCCCGTCGTGGTCACATGCACTAGTTCTCTCTCCATTCACGTGCACTCTCATTCAATCTCTCCCCAGCTTATCTTCTGAGCTCCGGTTTAACAATATTAGCAACTTCAGGGGCTTGCACCAACAATAAATAATCAGAAAGTTCAAAAGCAAAGAGAGAATGGAGGGAAAATGAGAGAAAGACAGGACTGCTCAAGGTGGTAACCGAGCATCAGCTGCATACAGGCCACTGTGACTTCCAGAGACATTCGTGCATCAGATTCAGAGAGGATGGAAGCCGAACTGATCCCAAAAAAGTAAAAAATGCAACATTAAAAAGGACAACGACAGGCTTTTGACTTTCCATTCAAGAATGAGTACACAGGAACTCATTACAGAACACTACAGAAATGGTGGAAGTTGAGGAAGACTGAGGCAATATTAAAAATAAATGTGGCTTTAC